TCAAACTATACTAACGTAATATAATACATGAAGATATTGGAAAACCCCACTTCTAAAACATATCACATGACACTGTAAAACAATGTGCTGTTAGATATGTTTTGTAAGAGGCAGCTAGTCATATGATACTAAATATAATCAGTGCAATCTAACCCAGTGCAATCTAACCCAGCACTTAGGTATGGAGAAGAGTTGAATACGTATGGAGACTCTAACATATAATATGTGCATTGAAAAAAGTCAATTATGATGAAAAATGAGAGTTTCAAGGATGACAAATATGATTTTTTTTTTGTAAAGAACAGGCAATTGGCATTTCATATATAAGTGTGATAATAAACCAGAATAAGGTTAATAGCTTATATAACTATAACAGAAGCTCTGAAGACAAGGAGTAATAAGACACTGCTTTGACTCTGTTTAACTACCTAACATTCATGTCTATAAAAACAACTTCCAAGACCTGTTTTTGCTGGACTGGATTCAGTTAGTGCTCTTGTCATCCCATGGGATCAAGTACTTGGAATTGTCTGTGAATGCTTTGTCTAAATGATGTATCTATCTTTGTCTAAAATGTAACTACATTCTTATGAAATACAACTCAAAATGAAAATAATTCAAATATTTAACCTAATTGGACAGCCTGATGATTTATTGATGATTTCCTGTCCTTCCTGATCACTCTCCAGTAAAATGTGTTAGTGTCCTTTAGAGGAGACTTGGCAGGTTAAAAATCACATTAAAAAAAAAAGGCAAAAAAATTAGCTATATTATAGATACAACTTAAAGTATTAAACCTCAAAACACTGTACAAAATAAAATTTGCTCGGCACCTTTTATGCTGTTTCAGGACTGACTCAGTGAAGCACAAAAAGTAAGTGCACATTTCCCACCAGGTGTACTACTTGCTACTGTGAAAAGTCCCACAATACCCTCTAGGTAGTCAGGTCCTGATCCTGCAATGAGCTCCACACAGGAAGACTCCTAGAGAGAGCCCCTCAAGGTCCACCCACACTGAGCTCATTGCAGGATCAAGGTCTTAAGTATTTGCAGGAAGGGATTTTCAATCTGTTCAATTAAAACTAACTAGTCAGTTTCATGTTTTTCTTATCAATTTCACTTTCTGGTTGGCTAATACTGTACTGTGATGCCTGAATTGCAAACACTACAGGGAAATGTTCACATCCAATCAAAAAAGACAATGAAAATATTTATGATGTTAAGGCAATTTATTTTACTTTTGCCATCTCAACAACAAATACATAACAGCACTGATATAATCCCATAAATCTCATATTGTATACACATATACTATATGTCTAAAATACAGAAACAAAAACTAAAGTTTAACATACACATTGTGAAACTAATCACCTTCCTAAAATTCTTTTCCAAAAACCAGACAACTATCTTACAATTATGGATGTGAAGAAATTATGAGCATTATCAAAATATTCCATTTTGTATTTGATTTTATCTAGTTAAACAGTATTTTTAAGAAACCTAGATAAAAACCCAAATACAGTTGAAATATTTTAGAAATTTTATTGTAATTTCTACACTGTCCTAAATGTAAGAGGTATGTGTTTTGTTGTGGTTGGTGGTTTTTTGTTTTCCTCTAATTCTGGTAAGAAATTTTAGTAAAACAAACATGAAACCAATGTGGTTTGTATTTTTATTTTTGCCCTGTTTGTATGCATTTCCATTTTTTGACAAACATTATATGTATATGCAACAGGATTTTAAGATACATTATTTAGAGTATTGTGATGTCCTCTGTGCATTTGGTGTTTTCTAAACCCAGGGGAGGATATAATCCATGCCCCCAAAAGCATACATTTTACAAAAACAGATGTGAGATCGGGAATGGGATACAACATAGAAGCAAAGTGATGATAGCTATTGTTTACTTGGGTTAGGGTTTTTTTGCAGGCTGGGGAAGAGATGAATTTGAGGGTACAGGGTACAGAAACACTTGCTTTTTATTCCGAGTAGGTTTTCAAAATTTCATTTAAAAAAAAAAATTCAGTGAAGGATAATGTTTTCAATATACTGCAGACATCCCTTCCAGATGCCTGACTCGGACTTCAGAATGACCAAACAGACTGGGCCCCAGAGAATTCACCCAGATTAGACATTAAGCCAGGACAGTACCGGTAATATAATTAGCTTGTTCAAATACAGACGCAGAACAGACTTGATCAAAGCTCAATTTGTGTACCTCACTTGAGTCTCAGGCCCTTATTCAGCAAAGACTTTATTCAGATTATGGGGGGGGTGGATAGCTCAGTGGTTTGAGCATTGGCCTGCTAAACCCAGGGTTGTGAGTTCAATCCTTGAGGGGGCCACTTAGGGAACTGGGGTAAAAATCTGTCTGGGGATTGGTCCTGTTTGAGCAGGGGGTTGGACTAGATGACCTCCTGAGGTCCCTTCCAACCCTGATATTCTATGATTCTAAGATTCAAGTGGTCCCTTACTTTAACAAGCAGTTCCAGTAACTAGAGAGATAATACTATAGAAGAGAATGAAGATACAAACTGGAATACATATAAAGTACACATATTGAAAGATTTCTGTGACTACTCACTTAGACACCAGTCAACTGAAACATTTAAATTAAAGAAAAATCTGTTAACTAAATTGCATTATAAAATCACTATAAATCAACCACGGAAAAGTTAGAACTGTTTAAGGTTTTGTGGCCAACCACATCCTCTAGAAATAAAACTTTAAGGCATAGAAAGAATTCAAACATTTTTGTTTTTTGGGCTGAGTAGATATCACCTAATTAAAAGATAATCAGTAATATATTCAACAGCTAATTTAGGTATTATTCATTTGGTCCTTGTCCAGATAGTACCCCTTTAAAAAACAACGATCAAGCTAAGGAAACAATTTGATAAAGTAAAACCAAGACTAATAAGTTGGAATAAATTCAACCAGCATTATTATAAGATGGCTAACCTCAGGCACACACAAAAGCTGAACGAGTCCAAGTGAAACTGCTAGTTATGCTTCTGTTATAGTTTTGTGTCTATGGCAACACCAAATCATCAACTGAACTCCACTACTAAAGCACTCAGAGGTAGGGGTGGGGAAGACAGGGAAATTTAGAAATACAAGTTGTAATATATAAAAATGAAAGAGTCATTAAGCAGAACTTTTTTTTTTAATACCAACAATGTAGTAATAAGTCTTTGACTCTGTTGCTCCTGCTATTTGAGCAGACTTCCTGTATTCATCAGCCTTATCAACCCACTGTCATTTCTCAAAGTTCATTAAAAAAAAATTCTCCCCTTGCCGACGCCTTTTAATGTCCATTTCCCAATTATATTATTAAAAACTCTGTAAATAATTTGACAATGTTTGTAAGAATGATTCCATATAAGTTAAGCTTACTACATTTTATTATCATTATTGTCCATGCTGTCAATTTTCCACATAAAGAACTTCACTGCAAGAGCAATGATTTATTTGCAGTAACAGAATAAATACCTTGGGTGCAGTGAATGTGCTGTGAGAAATTTTGTATAGCCAATGTCGGAAACCTCTACTCACTGCCCCCATTACAAAGGGACAAGTACCAGATCAACCTAAATAGTGTCAGCAGCTTTCTACTACCATGTAAGAATCCAGGCTCTATTACTGCCAAATGGGTAGGTGTTGCTAAGACTGCAGGCTAAGCCCTCAGGACTATGTTCCTCAAGTCACGGAACAGCTTATTAAGGAGCAGCATGTATGGGAGAACCACCTAGTTCTTCCTGAATGAGATGATGATGGTGGTAACATGGGCCTTTAGAAAGAGTCCTGCCGCATAATCTCTTTTTTCCTAATGAATGTTATTTAATATAGATATTACACGCACAGAGACTTGGTGCGCAGAGATTCTAGTATTTGTGTTTCTATTATGTTTCTTGTTTCTACTTATATTTTTCACATGCTTTTTTTAACCCTTCAAGGAGCTTACTTTGTGGGTCAGAAATAAGTAAAAAGAGCTGATGGAAAGGAGGCAGGTTACATTTTATTTCAGCGCCATCAATATCTCAGAGACAAAAAAGAAAGGTCCATGAAAAGATCCAAATACTAAGATATTTGGGTTATTCCAGTTCCTGCAGGACACAAATGCACAGTCCTAACATACATCTTTTACCACTGAAATATCCTGCATCTCATAAACAAGGAAAGATTATGAATCTATACTTGAGCTACAACAGTTACAGGTAAAACCTGATTTTAGGAAAATCTCAAGGAACACCTCAAGCCTTCACGAAAAGGCAAGGTTTCATACTATGACTTTCAGATACACCATCAGACCTGAGTTTTGGACAACAAGGAATTTGGGATTTTTGAGGTGCAAAACAACAACTACCAACCTAAGCATTTACCTGTTTACAGCAGAATTAGACTGCTACAAGATGGCAAGGATCCCTTTTCATTTAGAATGGCTGACACACTGTTTTTGTATTAATTTAGCTATATCAATTGTTACACTGACATAATTAAATCAATGCAACCCCTTACTATGGACATCCGCACTAGATTTTAGTACTGATTTACCTAAATCAATTTCTAAATAACCAATACAGCTAAATAGCTATATAAACAGTGTGTGCAGATCAGACCTTAGGAAGCAGACAATTGAATTTTGTTCTAGAGTGGGGTGTCTGAAGCTTGCCCAAGTGATGGAGTTGTATTGGCAAATGCAGAAGCCTGAAGGCTGTACTGTACCTTTATTGCAGAAACAGTTAGTAGAGCCCAAAGATCTGAATAAGCAACATGGACTGGCATCTCTGGTTAAAATGAAGCACTTAATGTGAGGACTTCTAGACTCTGTAGCCTTTTCCGCTGTACGACAAAGTCAGGCAGCCTCAGGTTACATCATAGATTGCACTTTGTTCACCTCTACTCTAGATGGTATCATAATTCTAAACACATGTATTTTGAAAAATCCACTACAAAAACTACTACAAAATAAAACAAACATATTTTGTGTTTTTCAGATTGAAAAAGCTGATTGACCAAGAAACAGCCTATCAGGCAAAAAAAGAGAAGGAAAACAACGAAAAAATAACTAAATTGAAAGAAGAACTGACAAAACTGAAATCATTTGCTTTAATGGTGGTGGATGAACAGCAAAGACTTACAGAACAGTTGAACCAACAAAGTCAAAAAATCCAAGAGCTAATCACTACTGCAGAGCAAGTACACGAGAAACTCACCATTGCTGAAGCAAAAGTAGAAGAAGAGAAGCAGAAAGCCATCAGGCTGGAAGCAGAACTGCAAGTGCAAACCAATAAGATTTCCCAAGAACAAGAAACAATGATGGCCAAACTAACCAATGAAGACAGCCAGAATCGCCAGCTCCGGATAAAATTAACAGCACTCACTCGACAAATTGATGAATTAAAGGAGACTAATAAGTCTTTACAAAAAGCAGAGGAAGAACTGCAAGACATAAGGGAAAAAATTAATAAAGGAGAATGTGGAAATTCCACTCTTATGTCTGAAGCAGAAGAATTATGGAAACGTGTCCTGGAAATGGAAGGTAAAGATGAAGAGCTCATAAAAATGGAAGATCAGTGTAGAGAGCTTAATAAAAAATTAGAAAAAGAAGCAGAACAAAACAAGAACTTTAAAGCAGAAGTTGACAAACTCAACAAAAGAATTATGGACCTGGAGAAATTAGAAGATGCTTTCAACAAGAGCAAACAAGAATGTTACGCTCTGAAATGCAATCTAGAAAAAGAAAAAATGTTAACAAAGCAATTGTCTCAGGAACTGGAAGGCTTAAAAGCTAGAATTGGAGAGCTTGAAGCCATTGAAATCAAGTTAGAAAAAACAGAATTCACACTCAAGGAAGATTTAACTAAACTGAAAACATTAACGGTCATGCTTGTGGATGAAAGAAAGACAATGAGTGAAAAAATAAAGCAAACAGAAGAAAAGTTACAATCTGCAACTTCCCAACTTCAGGTGGAGCAAAAGAAAGTGATGTCAGTTACAGAAAAACTAATTGAGGAAAGTAAAAAGGCACTGAAATCAAAATCTGATGCAGAGGAAAAAATGTCCAGTGTAACAAAGGAAAGAGATGAACTGAAAAAAAACCTAAAAGCAGAGGAAGAGAAAGGAAATGATCTCTTTTCCAAGGTAAATATTCTAAGGAAAAGGCTTCAGTCACTAGAAGTCACTGAAAAAGAGTTTCTTAAAAATAAACTCAAAGAAACAACTAAATCAAGCACATCCTTACAGCAGGAGAACAACAAGATTAAAGAACTTGCCCAAGAAGTTGAGAGGCTGAAAAATAAGCTGAAAGAAATGAAGGCCATAGAGGATGATCTCATGAAAACTGAAGATGAATTTGAGTCTCTAGAGCGAAGATACATCAATGAACGAGACAAAGCTAAATTTTTATCAGAAGAACTGGAGGTTGTGAAAATGGAACTGGCTAGGTATAAATTAGTAGAGAAGGCCGAGTCCAACCAAGAACAGTGGCTTTTCAAAAAACTTAAAGAAGAAGCAGCAAAGTCAGGGCACCTGTCTAGAGAGGTAGATGCATTGAAAGAGAAAATTCACAAGTACATGGCAACAGAAGACCTAATATGTCATCTTCGGGATGATCATATGGTCCTACAGAAGAAACTCACCCAGCAAGAAAACAAAAACAGGGAGTTAGCAAGAGAAATGGATAGCCTTACCAAAGAATTAGAGAGATACAGACGCTTCAGTAAGAGCCTTAGACCGAGTCTTAATGGAAGGAGAATTTCTGACTTGCAGGTTTTCTCTAAAGAAGTCCAGACAGATCCAGCAGACAATGAACCACCTGATTACAAGAGCCTTGTTCCTTTAGAACGAGCAGTCATAAATGGGCAATTGTATGAAGAGAGTGATAATGAAGATGAAAACAATGATGAGGAGCAAACAGTGTCTTTCAAATGCAATTCGTCTGTTGCAAATGCAGTAAACAAAAAGTTATGGATCTCATGGATGAAGTCCAAAGAAAGCCATCCTCAAAATGGAAAAATTCATGACAAACAGAATGGAAATTGTGCACAGCCACGAGACTTAATTCTAAGTCATACACCTGGTCAGCGTCTTCATATACAGGTTACACCAGACCATGGACAAAACACAGCTACCCATGAAAAAACAAGCCCTACTACAGACAGTCCTCACTCTTACACTAGTACAGCAGTTATACCCAACTGTGGCACACCAAAGCAAAGAATAACCATTATTCAAAATGCCTCTTTAACGCCTTTAAAATCAAAAATAGCTGATGGTTACATGAGTCCAGAGCAAGCCGTGCCACCTATCACATTGGCTACTTTTGCAAGATCTCAAACTCCTGAATCATGTGGCTCAATAACTCCAGAAAGGACAATGTCTCCGTTGGCTCTGACAGGTTCTTCAAGTTCTCCAGAACAAATGCTTTCTCCAGAGCCTTTGGAAATTGGTGCCAAGCATACTCTTTTTAGAGTATCCCCAGAAAGGCAATCGTCATGGCACTTTCAAAGATCTAACAGCACTGGTTCAAGTGTAATAACTACTGAGGATAATAAAATCCATATTCATTTAGGAAGTCCTTATGTTCAGGCTCTTGCTAATTCAGCAAAACCTTATACTCCAATTCAGGATAACAGAACTCCAGCACTAACTAATGGAACACCCAGTAAGCCTACTAGTAAAATCACAAGCAGTATCACAATCACACCAACAGCCACTCCTCTCCCACGGCAATCACAAATTACAGTAAGTAATGTCTATAACTGATCCCCATCCATGCTGACTCCTTTACCAGCAACCCATCCTATTTTTCATCCCAGCAAGAATAATTTGGAAACCCCCCCTTTATTTTGGGAGAGATCTGTGCATGAACTGTACAATGCTATTTGGAACTAACGTTAAGTTTTGCCTGCTTAGTCATATCAAGTGTGCACTTACTGTATATCTTTTCACTGAAATATCTTTATGTAAAATCTTTAGTCTTCCACTTGTATAAATGCATCTTTATGTATTTCCATTTTCCATAACTCACATTACTTTTGATTGCAAGGTGTATTGGTGAAATATTTTAACATTACAAAACAGTAAATAATTGGTTGTTTTTACCATTGCTTGCAGAATTATTTGTTCTTTTGGTGTGTGTGTGTGCGCGCATTTTGTATTTTTGCATGTATGACAGACTTTTATTTTAATCCTTGAAATGCCTGCTAAATACAGATAAGAACTATTTCATTACCTTTCTTCTATTCCCCGATTTTTCCTAGCCTTATTACTCAAATTATTATTTTTAGATCAAACACACACAAAATCACATGTACAGTACCAATTTTAAGTTCATGATGCATAAATCACATGTTTTGGGGCATGTCAATCACTGGGGATTTTGAGCGTGTGGATTTTTTTAAACACTTTGTCATTCTGTTAAAACTCAATCTGTTTCCTCCTTCAAACCTTTCCTTTGTAATGGGGTTGAGTTGAGAAGTTTATATCACAGAAATATTTTCTTTTTCCGTAAGGTAAGCTCTTAGTCTACATTAAAAATACTAACGTTTAAAGACCTTGTAAGAATGTGAACAGCAACATTTACATTTTAAAAAGACCAACCAGAAGAATGGCTCCACAGCATGATTTTATGATTCAAAGTAGGAGGGAAGGAGGCAGCAGGGTTGGAACCCAGATTACAGTCCATCGTTCTACATATTAGTTAGGCACCGTGAAGAAATGAAAGCAAAATGAATGATAGGACACCTTATAGTTTCTGAAATGATAAAATAAGTTGGTTACAAAAAATGAGAATACTATAGTCCAACTATTTGAATGTATACATCCCTCCAGACACAGTACAGACACTAATAATACAATTCCGCTATTTAGACAAAACTGTGTCACACACCACAGCGATGGACGCTATATTAGTGCATATAATAATAAATAATGACAATAGTATAAGCAATGCTGGCCTCAATTTGTCTGTATACCAAGAGTAAGAATCAATACTAACCTCTCGGAGAACATTACATACAGTGACACCAGAGCTTCATTTTGAATTATTTATAGGGCCGAAAGGTCTCGAATTCACTTCCCCAAAACCTCTCTTTCTCTAAATAAAGAGTTACTACTGAAATTCACTCTTTTAAAAACAGCTTTTTAAAAAGTTAAACATCAATTTTAATTATGCATTTAGAAAACAAATCTTTCATCGCTTTGCTAATCATCATAAAGAGATTTGTGCACAAATAGAAGCTCTCTACTTCATACATCACAGCTCAAGATGAATTGGGCAGAATAAAGATAATCTTTTCCATGATTATGAACTGTGATATTAATTGTCCTTCAACACTGATTCAGCAAAGGACTTTAAGCACGTGCTAAAGCTGAATGGGGAGCTAATGATGATGACAGAAGACAATGGCTGATTGTAAAAGGAAAAGTTTCTATTTAGAGAAAACAAAAATTTATCTTGATAATCAGCAATGATGGAAAAGGAAATAAAAGTAAGGTCCATGGGAGTTTCAATTAAATCATTTTTTTAAGAAGTGCACACTATTGCAACAGCATTTTTTAAAAGATTTAAACTATACAAGATAGTGTGAGCCCAACCCAATCTCGCTTACAGCCTGATCCAAAGTGGGCTTTGGATTAAGCCCTTTGCACATCCATTTAACTCCAATTACTTCAGAAGCTGAATTGAGTGGAACCAGAATCAGGCTCAGCATGTGATGTTCCTTAAGGCTCTTATCTTGCAAGGTGCTTATTGACTTCAGCATCCACTGACTTCAATGGGAGTTACTTATCACTAGGTGTTCAGCATCTTGTAGAATCAAGACCGAAAGGAGCATAATCTTATATGACGGTAATAACATACCCTTTATTACATTTGGCTTTAGCATTCTTTTCTGCAGTGCCAATCCAAAATGGACATTAGATCTCTACGTAACTAATTTTCAACATACACTGTTAAGATCCTGTAGGTATGCACATTTTACAACAGTGCATAACTCTGCAGTAATCACCAATATTCTGTTAGCAGACATTTGAAAATACTGAAAATGCCAGAGTCCTTTAAAAAAAATCCTATTACTGTCCTCATACATTTAGCATTACATTTTGTTTTTTATATTAAAATTATGTAGAAAACAAAATATTCTGGTTTGCATCTGCAATCTAACCAGATGCACAGAAATTAGTTGATTAACAACAACTAGGCAGTAATCTGTTACAATGTCTTTCAAAAAAACTAACTATACAGCAAGAATTAGATTTAGTCATTTCTTGTCCTTTGGACAGTTGCCCCGTTCTTCTGAACAAGAGTTCTATGTTAAGTGAATTAAAAGACCTAGACCAGAGATCACACCATTAAAAAGTTTAATTATTCAACAGGATAGTGCTTATTCTGCCTTGTTCATTTTTTACTAAGAGACCATTTTCACTACAGGAAAATAATTTTTAATTAACAAAAGCCAAAGGAAACAGCCATAGGATATTACTATTGACAGAAAAGTTGCATCAAACTTGCCTGTGAGCATCTTTGTCACATTTCCCATAACAGTATACCTTTTGATTAAGATCAACAAATATGCCCTCTGCCAAAGAGACTAAACATATCATACTTGCAGGGTCATGGACTCCGAGATGTATTTATTTTTGCCATTGACTTACACAGGAGCAAGCTGGAGCAACAACTTCAATTACAAGTCAGGCTTTCAGAAGACAGACTGTTCACTCTTCTCTTATTCCAAAGAGCTGATCAGTAGTGCATGAGGGAGCAAATGCATTGCTGGATATATTTACAGACTGTAGCATAATTCATTTTAAATAACTTTCTTAACTAAAAGAAGGTAGCTTTAAGGTTGTCACAAAGAAAGGAATCATTGTCTAGTGGTTGAAGGCACGGCTACTACTTCCCTATGTTATCTTGGGCAAGTCACTTCACCTCTCCAGCTCTCAATTTTCCCATCTCTAAAACAGGCATGATAATATTTACCTACGTCACTGGTGGGGTGGAGGATGAAGCTCAGTTAATTTATCTATAAATTGCTTTATGAGCCCTTGATGAAAGGTGCTCTATTAAAAGGTCAAAGTATTATAATATTAAAATATAATAATGAATAACAATATAGCAAATATAAAGCAGTTTTCATGAGAGGATCTCAAAATACTTTACAAAAATAGGGTCAGGATCACTATTTCACTTTGCAAGTGGAAACTATCTTTTGTGTTTTTCCAGCAGCTAGCACAACTAAGCCGCAAACCTGAGAAGGGCCTTTAAGTACTACTGTAATAATGCAAATAAATAATAATAATAATAATAGTGAAAGTATAGATATAGAAAATGTTAACCTGGCTGGATCAGATTAATTTAATCTCTGGAACAGAACACCATGCCATGCTCAAATCACAGACTGTTTTGAAGGGGGAAAAAAAAATAAGTAGACCACATCAACTGAATATTTTGTTAACCAAAACACAGACTTGGATGTCATGCATGTGTGTCAGACAGAGAAAGAGAAAATGAAAGTCTTCTGATTTTGTGTAACGGCCACTGACCCAAGGTTTTGAAGAAAATTTGTTGTTCTTTTATTTATAAAGTAATTAAAAATAATTAACTTGGGTGCAGATGTTAAAAATGGACATAGCTGTGGATAAATTGTTAGCATAATATTAATCCATACTAGCACCACAGGAAATGGAACAATCTCTAGCGTGAAAGAGGAGGTGGATAGATTTGGTGACCTTCTTCCTTGTACCATGTATAGATTCCCTGAGATTGTCACTGACTCTTCCATTCTATCCTTACTTCTCCTTCCATTTTTAACTGTACCTTTGTTGTGAGAAGTCAGAACAAAAATAAGAGTAGGACATATCTGAATCTTGGGTTCTTGTTTTTAAAGATTACCAGAAAAGTGCAAAGAAAGTTTAAGCCTCTTACTGTGCTTCATTATTGTGTATGAAGACTATCAAAGAGCTTTTAAAATATTTTGTTCTACATAATTACAATAGAAAGTGCAGATCTTTTTGTTGGAAGATTTCAGCAAGATTTCTGGAAGTACAATATCACATGAGGTTGTAACCTTAAGTGCGGCTCTCCCTCTACACAGCTGAGGGGAAGGGAATATTCTCAGTCTTGAAAGGGGAAGAGAATAGGGGTTGCCTAGTCTTAGGGTACATCTACACTGTAGCTGGGAGGTATAATTCCAGGTTGCATAGGTGTACACTCGCTAGCTTTGATGAAGCTAGTGTGCTAAAAACCACAATGTAGCTGCAGTACCCACTCGAGTACTTCCTAAGGGTCACAAATAGGACTGCACTCGGGCAGCTAGCCCATACTGCCATCCACATTGCCACAGATAAACTGGCTAGCAGAGCACCTCACCCTCCCTGATTGAACTAACCTCGTTATCTCCACACTGATATATACCTGCCTCTGGAGATTTCCATTACTTGCATCTGAAGAAGTGAGGTTCTGACCCACGAAAGCTTATGCTCCCAGTACTTCTGTTAGTCTCAAAGGTGCCACAGGACCCTCTGTTGTTGTTAGATTGTTAATAGGCAGCAGATTTAAACCAAATAAACAAAAGGAAGTATTTTTTCCATACAACTCACAGTCCACCTGTGGAATTCCTTGCCAGAGAATGTTGTGAAGGCCAAGACTATAACAGGGTTCAAAAAAGAACTAGACAAATTCATGGAGGATAGGTCCATCAATGGCTATGAGCCAGGATGGGCAGGGATGGTGTCTCTAGCCT